GTGTCCCTGGAGTCCCACGTAGTCGAATGCGGTTCGTGTCCCAGACCCGGTGGCTTAAAACTCATGCCGGGCACGTGTGCATATGTGCCCAGGACCCCGAGAGGAGAATGGAGGAGAAGGGATTGTGGCATGACCATCCCCCCTGGGGGGTGATTTCTCGCTTTCTGTCTCTATGTCTCTCTCTGTCTGTCTGGCGAGTGCACGCGCCCTATAGCGAAAATCTCTCCAAAAAAAAAAAAAGAAAAAGAAAAGAAAGTGGATGAACATGAAAGATTTATTGCTGATTGAAGCAAGTAAAACTATGAAACAGAGATATTGAATATCTGCAATTAACATATACCAACTGTCTACATTCTATGGTGGAGATAGAAATAGAAAGTTCAGAGGACATGAAAGCACTGAAAATTGTTATGACCACTGGGGACAAAGTGGAAGGAGAGTGGGAGAGGTAGGGAAACTTGGGGAAAAATGGAGAAGTAAGACATTTGTGGGACACAGATATGGTGTGTTGCCTGTTGATGTCATGTATAGTATTCTCAGCTCACCTGTTGTGTGGTGTGTATCATGTTGGGTAAAAACTCTTTACAATCTAAATGATGTATAGCAATTGAATGTACAAATAATAATAAAGAAACTGAAAAAATAAATTAATTAAAAAATAAATAATTCTTTAAAAGACTTGGAAAAACTTAAGAGTCTCATAATTAATCTCTAGATTCCTACCTAGTATAGGGATTTCACGTTCGATACTTTAGGGAATCGAAACATAAAATCTGGGTAAAGTATTTTTACAAGCAAAATGATAAATAGCAATTGAATGTTTAAAAAAATAATTGGAATAATAATAATCTGGAAAAATAATGAAAAGGTATCTGATGATGACGACGAGGATTTTAAAGTCTTTGTATTGACTAATATTCATAGTATTTCTTCTGGAAAAAGGAATGTAATACACTGCAAAGTTATATGTGATTCAATATAACATAAACAAGATTATGATAATAACTACATTAAATGAAAAAGAAGCATCTGAGTTAAAGCTTACATTTAAAAACTCTCTTTTACTTATGCTTTTGAATCTTTTTATATTTTTTTGGAGAGATTTTTGCTATAGGGCACATGCACTCACAGAGAGAGACACAGAGAAAGAAAGAGAGAAATCACCCCCCGGGGGGATGGCCATGCTGCAATCCCTTCTACTCCATTATCCTCTTGGGTTCTTGGGCACGCACGCACATGTGCCCAGTGTGAGTTTAAGCCACCAGGTCTGGGACTCGAACCACGGTCAACTACATGGGAGTTGAGCGACATTGCCATTACACTATCTGCTGGTACCAAAACCATTTGATCATATCGGTTGGTGGAGAAAAAGCATTTGATAAGATACAACATCCATTTGTGACCCTGAGCAAAATTGGCATAGAAGGGTCATTTCTCAACATAAGAAATGCTATCTAATGAAAAACCCAAAGCTAACGTCATTCTCAATGGGGAACAGCTGAAAGCTTTTCCAGTAAAAACTGGTACAAGACAAAGATACCTACTCTCTCCACTCCTTTTCAATATAATAAGTCTGCCAATACAATCAGAAAAGTTAATAAAAGGCATTTAAATAGAAAAAGAAGAGGTGAAATTATCTCTATTGTATATGACATGATTGTACACATAGAAGACCCAAAAATTCATCAAAAAAATCCTGGAAGAAACAAATGAATACAGTAGTTTCAAGATACAAGATCAACATATAGAAATCTATAGCATTTCTATTTATGAACTGCAGGCAGACTGAGAAAGAACTGAAGAAAGTAATTCAATTTATCATAGCCACAGAAAGTACAAGATATCTAGAAATATATCTAACTGAAGAAGTTAATAGCTCCATAAGATAAACTATGAAAAGCTAAGAAAAGAAACTGAAAATGACACAAAAAAGTGAAAGGACATCCCATGTTCTTGGATTGGAAGAATAGATATAATCAAAATTGCAATGCTACCCAATGTGATCTACAAATAGAACTATCATATGATCTAGCAGTCCACTCCTTGGTATCTACCCAAAGGGCAAAAGAATGCTTAATGGGAAATGTGTTTGCACATCAAAGTTTATTGTGGCATTATTCACAATGGCTAAGACATGTGATAATCTATATATCTAATATAATACCAACCAAAGTACTAGAGACATTTTTCTCAGATCTAGAAAAGACAATCATACAATTTGTCTGGAGTCATAAAAGACTTGTATTGCCAAAGCAATTCTGTGTGAGAAGGGTGGAGTGGGTGGCATCTCATTCCCTGACCGAAAATATACTATAAAGCTACGCTAATCAAAACAGCATGGTATTGGGACAAAACAGATATGTGGGTCAATGGAACAGACTAGAGACCCCAGAAATAAACTCCCAAACATGCAGCCAACTGATGTTTGACAAAGGGTACCAGTCAATCCAGTGGGAAAA